GCTCGGTACGGGGATGTACGGGACGGATCGGTATGGGGGATGTACGGGACGGCTCGGTACGGGGAAATACGGGACGGCTCGGTACGGGGATGTACGGGACGGCTCGGTACGGGGATGTACGGGACGGCTCGGTACGGGGATGTACGGGACGGCTCGGTACGGGGATGTACGGGACGGTTCGGTACGGGGATGTACGGGACGGCTCGGTACGGGGATGTACGGGACGGCTCGGTACGGGGGATGTACGGGACGGCTCGGTACGGGGATGTACGGGACGGCTCGGTACGGGGGATGTACGGGACGGCTCGGTACGGGGGATGTACGGGACGGCTCGGTACGGGGGATGTACGGGACGGCTCGGTACGGGGGATGTACGGGACGGCTCGGTACGGGGGATGTACGGGACGGCTCGGTACGGGGGATGTACGGGACGGCTCGGTACGGGGGATGTACGGGACGGCTCGGTACGGGGATGTACGGGACGGCTCGGTACGGGGGATGTACGGGACGGCTCGGTACGGGGGATGTACGGGACGGCTCGGTACGGGATTTATAGCATGGCTAGGTACGGGAGGTACGGGGAGGAACGGAACAGCTCGGTACGGGGATGTACGGGATGGCTCAGTACAGGGCGGCTCGGTACGGGGGAGGTACGGGACGGCTCGGTATGGGGGATGTACGGGACGGCTCGGTATGGGGGATGTACGGGACGGCTCGGTAGGGGGATGTACGGGACGGCTCGGTATGGGGGATGTACGGGACGGCTCGGTATGGGGGATGTACGGGACGGCTCAGTATGGGGGATGTACGGGAGGGGCTCGGTATGGGGGATGTACGGGACGGCTCGGTACGGGGATTTATAGGATGGCTAGGTACAGGGAGGTACGGGACGGCACGGTATGGGGAGGTACGGGATGGGGAGGTACGGGACAGCTCGGTACGGGATGGCTCGGTACAGGGCGGCTCGGTACGGGGTAGGTACGGGACGGCTCGATACGGGGATGTACGGGACGGATCGGTAAGGGGAGGTACGGGACGGATCGGGACGGCTCGGTACGGGACAGCTCGGTACGGGGAGGTACGGGACGGATCGGTACGGGGAGGTACGGGACGGATCGGTACGGGGAGGTACAGGACGGATCGGTATGGGGCGGCTCGGTACAGGTTGGCTCGGTATGGGAGATGTACGGGACGGCTCGGCACAGGGGAGGTAAGGGACGGCTCAGTACGGGGGAGGTATAGGACGGCTTGGCATGGGGAGGTACGGGACGGATCGGTACGGGGAGGTACGGGACGGATCGGTACGGGGAGGTACGGGACGGATCGGTACGGGGAGGTACGGGACGGATCGGTACGGGGAGGTACAGGACGGATCGGTATGGGGCGGCTCGGTACAGGTTGGCTCGGTATGGGAGATGTACGGGACGGCTCGGCACAGGGGAGGTAAGGGACGGCTCGGTACGGGGGAGGTATAGGACGGCTTGGCATGGGGAGGTACGGGACGGATCGGTACGGGGAGGTACGGGACGGATCGGTACGGGGAGGTACGGGACGGATCGGTACGGGGAGGTACGGGACGGATCGGTACGGGGAGGTATGGGACGGATCGGTACGGGGAGGTACAGGACGGATCGGTATGGGGCGGCTCGGTACAGGTTGGCTCGGTATGGGAGATGTAGGGACGGCTTGGCACAGGGGAGGTAAGGGACGGCTCGGTACGGGGGGTAGGTATAGGACGGCTTGGCATGGGGGAGGTAAGGGACGGCTCGGTACGGGGGAGGTACAGGACGGCTTGGCATGGGGATGGATTCTAAGAGCACTTTGGGGGTGGATATCCTGTTTGCCTATTAAAAAGCTCTAATACTGGACAGTATAAAACTTTAAAGTTTATAGAATTTTGGAGCCTCATTTGGTTTATAGAGTAACTCCACTTTTGCCGAGAAGAAACCCCGCCCCCCCCCCCCCCCCCCCCCCCGGGTGATCTCTGTACATTGCAGGGATTGTAACAAACTTTGTTGCAGATTCCGACCTTTTGTTATCCTGAAGAAATATCTGTTTGTTTCTCTGTGTCCTGTGCAGCGTGAGTGTGGATGGAAGGGACTCTATAATCATCAATCAGCGGCTGCACCTGCAGGGCTCTAATGAGGAAAGAGGCAGGGTCTGCATCCCTTTCGGAGTACCTCAGCAAAAATGACATTTTGGTTGCAGGGGATGCCCAAAATCTGACGTGTATCTTAGTGCAGACTTCTGGGAAAATCAGTCAGCCAATCACAGAGCAGAAAATGACATCTCTGGGGGGCGCTCTGTATACCATCTGTGTACACAACGCCTCCAGGCGGCCATATTGCATTTTACTGTAAATGGCAGTAGCTGCAGATTGAAAAGGAAAGAGAATTTTTAAAAACATTCAGTTACAATGTAACTTCTGGAGCAATTATATATATTCACTTTTATGGGGAAAAAATAGCAAATAAAAAATTGAGTTACCCCTTACTGCTGCCTGTAAGGGGCGGGGCAAGATTCAGATTACAGGGCTGCCTTAGTGCAATGCATGTGAATGTGGAATGTAACGCATGTTAGAGCAACGCAGGTATGAACGCAGCTGAAGACAGTTCTATGCAGCCCGATTGCTGGAGGGAAAGGTTTGGGGCTCAGCTGCAGATTGCCTGATAGCTAAACTACACTATATTGCCCAATGTATTGTCCCCACCCTCCAAATCATATGATTCAGGTGCTCCAATCCCCTCCAAATCATGTGATTCAGGTGTTCCAATCCCCTCCAAATCATATGATTCAGGTGCTCCAATCCCCTCCAAATCATGTGATTCAGGTGTTCCAATCCCCTCCAAATCATGTGATTCAGGTGTTCCAACCCCCTCCATATCATGTGATTCAGGTGTTCCAATCCCCTCCATATCATGTGATTCAGGTGTTCCAATCCCCCCCATATTCATGTGTTTCAGGTGTTCCAATCCCCTCCAAATCATGTGATTAAGGTGTTCCAATCCCCTCCATATCATGTGATTCAGGTGTTCCAATCCCCTCCATATCATGTGATTCAGGTGTTCCAATCCCTTCCCAATCATGTGATTAAGGTGTTCCAATCCCCTCCACATCATGTGATTCAGGTGTTCCAATCCCCTCCATATCATGTGATTCAGGTGTTCCAATCCCCCCCATATCATGTGATTCAGGTGTTCCAATCCCCTCCGTATCATGTGATTCAGGTGTTCCAATCCCCTCCATGGACACAGGTGTATACAATCCATCCCCTAGGCATGCAGACTGCTTCTACAAACATTGGTGAAAGAATGGGTCGCTCTCAGGCGCTCAGTGACTCCAAGCGTGGTCCCGTGATAGGTGGTCACCTGGGCAATAAGTCCATCCGTGACATTTCCTGGCTACTAAATATTCCACGCTCAACTGTTAGTGGGATTATAACAAAGTGGAAGCCACTGGGAACAACAGCCACTCAGCCACCAAGTGGTAGGCCACGTCACATGACAGAGCGGGGTCAGCGCATGCTGAAGCGCACAGTGCGCAGAAGTCACCAACTGTCTGCAGAGTCAATAGCTAAAGACCTCCAAACTTGGTGTGGCCTTCAGATGAGCCCAACAACAGAGCGTAGAGAGCTTCATGGAATGGGTTTTCCATGGCCGAGCAGCTGCATCCGAGCCTTCCATCACCAAGTGCAATGCAAAGCGTCGGATGCCGTGGTGTAAAGCACGCCACCACTGGACTCTAGAGCAGGGGAGGTGTGTTCTCTGGAGTGACCAATCACACTTCTCTGTCTGGCCATCCGATGGACGTGTCTGGGTTTGTCGGTGGCCAGGAGAACGGTACTTGCCTGACTGTATTGTGCCAAGTGTAAAGTTTGGTAGAGGGGGGATTATGGTGTGGGGGTATTTTTCAGGGGTTGGACTTGGCCCCCTAGTTCCAGTGAAGGGAACTCTTAAGGCGACATTCTGGACAATTTCATGCTCCCAACTTTGTGGGAGGAGTTTGGGGGATGGCCCCTTCCTGTTCCAACATGACTGCCCCCCAGTGCACAAAGCAAGGTCCATAAAGACATGGAGGAGCCAGTTTGGGGTGGAGGAACTTGATTGTCCTGCACAGAGTCCTGACCTCAACCCCATAGAACACCTTTGGGATGAATTAGAGCGGAGACTGCGAGCCAGGCCCCTCCCCCGACATCAGTGCCTGACCTGACAAATGTGCTTCTGGAAGAATGGTCCAACCTTCCCATAGACACCCTCCTAAACCTTGTGGACGGCCTTCCCAAGAAGAGGCAAAGGGCGGGGCCAACTCAATATTGAACCCTACGGACTAAGACTGGGGGGCCATTAAAGGTCATGTGTGTGGAAAGGGCGGGGCCAACTCAATATTGAACCCTACAAACTAAGACTGGGGGGCCATTACAGGTCATGTGTGTGGGAAGAGCGGGGCCAACTCAATATTGAACCCTACGGGCTAAGACTGGGGGGCCATTAAAGGTCATGTGTGTGGGAAGGGCGGGGCCAACTCAATATTGAACCCTATGGACTAAGACTGGGGGGGGGCCATTAAAGGTCATGTGTGTGGAAAGGGCGGGGTCCGACCAATACTTTGGGGAATATAATGTATATACGGGGGGGGTGGGGACAATACTTGGGGCAATATAGTGTATATACGGGGGGGGGGGGACAATACTTGGGGCAATATAGTGTATATACGGGGGGGGGGACAATACTTTGGGCAATATGGTGTATATACGGGGGGGGACAATACTTTGGGCAATATGGTGTATATACGGGGGGGGGGGGACAATATCGTGTGTGTCCAACTTCGCAGTTGCCGTGTACATTAGGCCTGCCTATATAATTGAATCAAAGGAAACGTTCCGTTGGACATACACATTACAATTTCATCTGCAAGGCTCCGATTGGCTCCTTTAATGCATCGAGTTTTATGGTTGGTTGTATTTTTTCATGATTTCAATCCTGTGGTTTTCTCCTCTAAAGGAAATGTCGGGGGGCAGCCCCAAGTCTGCTGACCACACATGTCCTGAATATTGCGCAGGGGACCCCGGCTAAAGGCCTGACAATTACCTTGTCCAAGTTTCATGCCAGAGAAGCAAAATGGGAACAAATGAGCAGAAGGTGAGCGTGCCGGGTAGAAGGTGAGCGTACCGGGCAAAAGATGAGCATGCCGGGTAGAAGGTGAGCGTGCCGGGCAAAAGGTGAGCGTGCCGCGTAGAAGGTGAGCGTGCCATGTAGAAGGTGAGCATACCGTGTAGAAGGTGAGCGTGATGGGGAGAAGGTGAGCTGCTGTGTAGAAGGTGAGCTTGCCAGGCAGATGGTAAGTTTGCCAAGAAGAAGGTGAGCGTGCCGCGTAGAAGGTGAGCGTGCCGCGTAGAAGGTGAGCGTGCCGCGTAGAAGGTGAGCGTGCCGCGTAGAAGGTGAGCGAGCCGCGTAGAAGGTGAGTGTGCCATGTAGAAGGTGAGCATACCGTGTAGAGAAGGTGAGCGTGCCGGGCAGAAGGTGAGTGGGCCGTGTAGAAGGTGAGCGTGATGGGCAGAAGGTGAGCTTGCTGTGTAGAAGGTGAGCTTGCCGGGCAGAAGGTAAGTGTGCCAAGAAGAAGGTGAGAATGTCAGGCAGAAGGTGAGCGTGCTGAGAACTATCTTCAGTAAGACGAAGCAGAATTCCACTTTGACTGATTTGGCTTTCAATGTGTTTCTTAGTGTCACCGACCAGGACGGCCGCTGCCCAGGGCTTCTACGCGGAGAACCTCTGACAGCCGGACCTTCCAGCTGCGCTTCGATACCGCCGAATACTGGAAGCAGTTACAAATGGAGGCCTTCCACCCGTCTGTAGAGGTATCTCTCGTTACGTAGAAAAGTCTCTTCATTGAGAACTGTCCTTGTGGGCCAATAGCACCCAACCAGATGTTAGCTTTCACCGACTTGTGAAAAAAGGCGGGTTCTGATTGGATGCTTCCGGCAGTAGTTTTCTTGAATCGGGTTCTAGAAGAGGCGTTCTGTCATTTCATAGACCTCCCCATGTACATGATGTCTGCAGAAGGCAATCTAGGGCTTGTGTGGTATTTGGCGGCATTCCTCCAATTCTGCAATGTTCTATCAGAGGAGGGGGGGGCAGGAATGGTTTACATGGACAGGTCTGCGGAATCACGCATGGCCTAGATCAGGGGTGGGCAAACTTTTTGACTTGAGGGCCGCAATAGGTTCATATATTGGACCCGGGGCCGGACTAGCTGCTGGCCGGCCCAGCCAC